ATAACCTAGATAACCGTGTTTGATCAATTTTAAGTTACAAAGTTAAGCTTAATTAAAATTAATAAAGAAAAATGAATTTCGAATTAGAATATGAGAATTTAAACTCAATCGTGTATTAACAATTATTTTCAAATTATATAAAATAAGCTCCTCATCAATTATCAATTAAAAGATCGATAATTCCTATTCAATTGCAAATTTTTTGTTGTTTAAGTTAAATTTTGTTGATGCTTTAGAAAATTGCATATTTAAAAAAAATATATATATAGCCGATGAATCTAAATTATTGTTTAGATTATTGGAAGCAAGAGAAACCGAACGCGCTGAAGCAAGAAGACTTGAAGACGAAGAGAAGAGGTTACAGGAAGAAAAGGTAGTTAAATATTATGTTTCTAACGAAAAAGAAAACTTTTTTGTCTGTTCTCTGAAAAACTGAATTGTCATGTTTTGCACTTTTGCAATCTTCAAAAATGCTGGTCATGCATTTACCAAAAACTAATCAGCATGTCTCCTGATCATTCAAATCGGTTGATCCATGCTCTCAAAATCGTCGACAAATATTTGTATCCGCAAATACATACACACATCCAGTTTTTTTGAGGTATGCCAACATGTCCAGATATTTTATGATTTACTTTTTGATTTAGGATCGACGTCTTGAGCAACAGGCAGAAGCAAGTCGTCTGGATAAAGAAACATGTGAACGAGTCACAGCGGCCATGCTATTGCAAGGACATATCGAAAAACTTCTTCCAGGATTATTGGAAGTAAGTGATAAATATAGAAAATTATACAGTCTAGAAATTGCAATATTTGATATAGGATGTCACGTTTCCAGCATTTGTTTACTCAACTCAGACTTTAAGAAATAGCCTTTCTCATTACATATATTCGATCCATATTGATCAAATATCTCTGTTTTTGGTCTTTTTTCAATATCATATTTTAAATCCTATATTATAAAATATGAAGCAGAGTTTTATTTTTTTATTTCAACAATAGTTTATTAATATTATTTATTAAAAATAAATTAATGATTCTCCAAAGAATGTGCCGTGTGGTGAAGGATTCACTGGCTTGGGAGGTCAAGAGACTGCCAAATGGATTTGCAAAGAAGTTGCCTATGAACTTGGAAAAGTCGTGGACAGCAGAGAGGTTTTGGAAGGTAAAAATAATCACAAATGTTGTAGAAAATAATTAATCAAACTATTACAAAAACCTTTTTCCAAAAATACAAATACTATCTATAGTATAATACTATTGGACAGTTTAACCAAACAAATTTTAATAATCTTGGTTGCAAGAAAAATTTTAACAAACATTTTATCTTTGACTTTTTGATTAAATTACAAATACAAAACCATTATATTAGTAAAATATATTCTTTCATGAAATAACAAGTATGAAATTTACTTGATTCACAGGGTGTCTCAGAACATAACATAAAGGCGATACAGAGTGATAGTATTGACCATAAATATCATAAAAAATAGAAACAATTTTCGCATGTAGTTTAAAAATTATGAGCTTACAAAAGCAACCTAGAGTTTTGGTAATAAAGTGACCATTTTTTGGTTATTGTTGTTATTTTTTGGTAATTTTGTTTATTTATGCTTTGGATCCGTAATCATAAATAACTGTCCTAGAAGCCCAGTTTGTAGTACTTGGTTAGCCCAAGTTTTCTAAATTTAACACTTTTGAAAAAAATGCACTAATATGTTTTGGCAAGTTTATCACAATTTGGTGCATTTGATCTTTGTTATTATCCATATTATTTTTAAGGTTTTATCTTAGGATGATGCTATTAGATTAATTACCATTTTGATTAAATGCGTCAACTTTTGATTAACTCAATACAACTGATTTTATCTTTTTAGATATCGTACGTGATATTGTGGTAAAACGAGCAATCGCTTACAAAGATCTGCATGAACTTCAAATTGAAGAACTTGATGTCTGTGAAGAAGGTGAAGGTGAAGAACATGAGTCAATGGGAGAAGCTGAAATTGATTCGGATATTTGTGAGCCGATAGAAATGACTGCTCACTGATGACAAAATTTATAAAAAAAAAATATTGCTAATTTTCTGTAAATTCTTAGTAGCTCTTTTATAGACACTAACAAACTTTTGGTTAGTATTTTTTAATTATTTAAAATTTTATAAGAACGTTTATAAAAATTGCAAATCTGCAAATTTGTGCAAGTGTTTTATGCAAATTTATATATTTTTGTTGACTTATTAAAATTGAATATATTATATATTTTTATTCTGTTAACATTAATTTTCTTATAAGAATTGTTTCAGAATTTACTTTCAAATTAACTATTATTAGTAGTAATATTGTAAATAAACTAAAACTTACTCATAAATAGTATATAAGTAGTTTTTATAACTAATAAAACAATACAATTAATTATTCAAGAAGAACGAGTGGGAGAAGATTTATATTACAATATTTTTTGAATTGCAAAAAAATAAAAATAAAAACAAATTATTGTAATAAAACTTAACGAAAAAATAATATTTTGCATGTAAATCATTTGAGGTTCTGAAAACAGACTAAGGGCCCATTCGGCGGTAACATAGCCGATAACATAGCGTTGTTATGGCAACGCGATATTGTCCTTTCTTGGTACTAAAAACTGTAGAAATGCTATCTATTTGTTGTACGATCAGGCGTTTTACACATAAAACTGTATGTTATAGATGCGGATCATAAAGATGCAGTTATAACTTTCACAGCAAATAGATAACATTTTCACAGTTTTTAATACTAAGAAAGCAGAATAAAATAGCTTTGCCATAACAACGCTATGTTACCGCAGAATTGACCCCTTAACCTTAAGAATACCATTATATGAGATGAGTTCAAAAAGTACTCAAAATTCTCGGGTCTAAAGAGTCCGATTGTCAAAATTTTTGTATTTTTTGTTAAAAATAAAGCATGATAAAACTTTCAACTATATTCACTGCATACTTTGAACTGCATGTATACCAAAACAATTTTTTTTTTTTTGACAATCTGACTCTCCTGACCAGAGAAATTTTTTTAAATTTTATTTTGGAACTTAAATTGAAACTTTCAACAACTGTTTTCCGAAAAACTTAATAACAATAAAAGCAATTAAATTTTGTACCCTAAAAAGTTCTCTTTTTTATCTTGGCCCTTTCTTTTTATACTTTTTAATCAGATTTTGGCAAGTTTGCCTCATTATAAAAATGGATTAATATTATAAATGTACACACCTATGATTTATACTAAATTTTGTAAAAAAACATCGTAATCTAGAACTAGTAATTATTTAATTATCGTTATAGCTTATAATATGAAATAGGCCTATGTTATTAAAATTCTCATACATTTTTGTATAAAGTTATTTATATCCTACAAACCGATCACAATATATCTAAGCAAACCTCGTTACTAGATTGAAATATGTATAATATATGTTTGCTTATATCTTAATTATTAGCTTTAGATATAGAAAGTATATATTAGTTGCAATACACATAATTTTAATCAGTTTTTGAAAATAAATATTTTATATACCGTTATAAATTTTGTTGATGTATTTTATTTTGTGTTGTGTTTATGTTTTCGACTTCAAACAAACATTACGTTCTAGTCTCTCGAGTTGTTTTATATGTACTTCCATTTGAAGAATTGCAAAGAATGTACTAAAGTACACGTATTGTTTATAAAACTAAATAAAATTTTAACAATTTCTGTTAATGTTTATAGACATAAAAATTAATATTCATCCAACTCACTTATGACGAGAAATCGCTTATACTAGTACATTATTATTATTAAACTTGTTATTCAATTTGTTTACAATATAATTCGCTTACCTTCGTCGCCATCAAAATTCTTCACAATCACAACCATATTATTGTCTTAGATCACAACTGCACTATATTATTTATAATATTTTACTTTTTATGATTTTCAAACTTTAATTAAATGAAACAAATCAATACGTTTAACTATTAAAGAATACAAATTTTAATATCAACTACCGAAATTAACGTCAAACACGATGACGCCAGAACTGACATGAACTACTGAAACACGTTTGAGAAATGCAACAGGATGCAAGGATGCAACCATAGATAAATAAACATGAAGTGAGGCATAAATGGGAGACATGTCATTTGACACTTGACACTTTATTTTTTTTTATCTATGACTTAACATCTAGATTAATAAACATAATATTTATTTATCTTTAATCTCTCGTTTAATAAACGATGTTTATTTATTCATGATCTAATATATGAACTGAAAGAACCGGCAACGGTTCTTCAGAGTCTGCTTCTAAGTTCATTGTAGTTCAAGGGATTGCCGTGTGCGAATTGAGGCGCCAAATTTGAAATTAATAATTCTGTTTTTGAATATTACATAGATTATTTATTCGTGGATTCTGCGTAGTATGTAGTTTTTAAACTGTACCATACGCAAAAAATTAGTATACTATTGCATAAATTAGTTAAATTAATTGTAAAATTGTGCTGAAGGGTTGAAAAACCCTAAAAACTTTAACGAATATCTATTGTATCTATTATCGTTTTCTATGTTAATCGTGCTAATAATTTATTTAAACAACATTAATTAATTAAATATAATTAAAAATGAAAAACTCACGCTAATAACTAAAAGTGAGTCAAACTTGTAAATTTTGAATACAATTATTAATGTTTATCATTATTAGTGAGTCAAAGTGAATTTGTTACTGTTTAAATGTATGAATATTTTTAACTTATATAATCATCATTTTTCTTAAAATAATTTACTGGAAATCTCATTTATTAAAAGCTATAAAAAATATTGTTTTTAGAATAGTAATATAATAATGCAAAATACAACCCTTTTTGAACGAGTTGAAATAGTAAATCGATTATGAGCAAAAAAACGCCAAAAATATATTCATTCAACTTTGTTACAAAACTAACTAAAATATAGATAAATAACGAAATAATAACTTAAATGCATTTATATCTATTCACCAACTGCAGATGTATTTTCAAAATATTGATTTCGCATAGATTTCAACCTGTCCCAAAAAACAAGGCACAAGACAGTGTGGGGTGCTCCACGAACATATTGCGGTATAAATCCTTTGTAAAGACCCCGAATTCCTTCTGTATACCAAGTTTTCAGCAAACAATCCAGAACGTTTTTATACAGCAGACCTCGACCATTAGAATCGACTCCTGAAAATCAATAAATATATACGTAATGCCAATAAAAATTTGCTAAAATATGTGTTACCTTGATTATAAAGTCGAGTAGAAACAACATCAAACGGTGTCATGCAACAGACCATAACTGCACCACTCAAAAAACTTGCCAAAAATGCACATAATATTGGTTTTTCTTTAAGTTTCTGTAATATAAATTCATATAATCAATCATAATCGATAAATTGCTTAAATATGAAAATTAATTTTAATACTAATACTAAATTTATATTCCATTATGTTTGGAAGAAAATCTCTTAAGATTTTTGTTTATTAATAAATACCAAAAAATATTAGACATTCTAAAAAAATAATGGATAAGTGAATTTTGCCAATATTTTTTACTTAGGTTGCACAGTTTGTATAAACCTACATTTATTGAGGAATTGTTTTTTCCTCATAAATTTTTAGAAATTTGCACAGCCATAAAATGCTCATGAATAATAAAAAATTAAGGTATTTTTCAACTTTAGTATTTTTCACCAAGCACTAATAGTCCACTTATTATAATAAGTTCACCTCGGAATTTGAGATACCCAGATGTAAGTTTGTAAATACTTTTATATAGACACCCTAAAGTTGTCTCAAAACCTACATATGATATTGTGGCCCTACCATATGTAGGTTGTGGGACAACTTTAGTGTGTCAATATACAAGTATTTATAGACTCCCAACTGGGTATCTCGAATTCCGAGTTTTTTTACCTAATTTAAGCTTAAATGACTAGACTATAAGAAAAATAAAAAAAAAACAAAATGATCCATACAAACCGGAGATTGATTCTCTAACAGTTGTTTGCTTTTACCAAAAGTCGATAGCTGCGCCGAAGAAGCGACTGCTGTTCTAGGAATAGTGCCTTCTAATCCTCTCCACAAACCTATCAAAGTAATAAACTTTAACATATCAAGTATAAATTGAACTACTGTATTATTGATAATTAGCAAAAAAATTAAATGTAGCATGTGAATGTATTTAATTTAATTTAATGTATAATTTGAATGTACTTGGGTATAAAACGGATTGGTCAATAAATTAATACTATTAACATAGCCCAATAACTTAAATATGTCAAATATACACCTTTTATTCCATATTTTTTATAAATATGACCAAGCGCTGACAGCCATCCTCCATTGTGCTGGTGCTGATGGCCAACAGCGAGATCCACACGACTGCCAAATAATTTACAATTTAATACAAAACGACGTCCTAAATAAATATTTTTTGCTTCTCATAATTTTTTCATCATGGTACCTGCACTGAGCCTGAATTTGTGTTTTAATCAAATAAAATGGGCTACCGACTGCTGCACCACAAACTCCACATGTGGCACCGCAAAGCACTGATAAAAATGGATTCACTGTTCCTTCGGCATCTCTGGTCCAACCGGCATTGTCCAACGTTTGAAATAAACCCAATCTACGAAAAATTCATCATTTTATAAGTTGGCAAAATAATAAAAAATGTACTGATAAATAACTGTTTTTAAATTAAAATGGAGGTCAACATCGGCAAACCTAAGGTGATGGGAATCTTGAAATGAGATAAATCCCTTAGGATAACGGTAGGAAATCGAGAATTGGAAGATGTGGATCACTTCAAATACTTGGGAGGCATTTTCCTTTCCATATGAAACATTTTATTATAACTTTATGATTAATGATAGATTCTTTATACCATAAATTTTAATATTAGTCAATATAACCTGGCTTATTATGAGTTATATTACAAAATACTAGATTCTAATTTGCAAAAATTAATTACTTTTTTATAATAGTTTTTAATTTGTCCATACCTGGTCCCGTTTAGAACAAATTGAAACATCAAAGCAGGAGTCAGACCTTTCTGCAATGCCAAAATACCATCTGCCTTGGCAACCACCCACATAGCATGACCTACGCCACGGTAATGTATTGGATGAGATCCAGGAGTAGCAAGCTCGCCCTATTATAAACAATAAATTTTTGATACAAAAATTTCTGATAAATTCTCGTGAAAATAATATTTCATTGGATTGATTTTGTCTGCCCATACTAAATTGTTAAAGAGTGATTTAAAATATTTCAAACAGAAATCAAAGATAAATGATTCCCTATACTAATTAAATTATGAAAAAATAAAAAATTCAGATTGGTGATACTCAAATATTTGATATTATTAATGATTATAAATACAATACATAACTTCAAATTCTAATTTTTTCGATATTGAAGGTTTCATTATAATTTACCTAGGTAATTATAGTCAAGCAGCTGCTTGACTAGTGTAGTAAAATATAGTATACTATAAGTAATTGTATACTCTTCTTTGATTTCTAAATTTAGATCAATTCAGTTTATTCTATTATGAAATACGTTGTTTTTTTATCTTGTAACTAAAAACATATTCGTGACAAATACCCTGAGGTCCTAAAGGTTAAGTAATATTTTTTTAAAATTATGTTAATTTTTTTATTATAGATCAGTATAAAATTTACCTGCAACTGCATTCTGGTCTTGATAACATCGAATGGGTTGCTAAATATTCCTGCACCCATTGCAGCTACACCACCCAATAAAAAATCCATTTTACGTACTTGATATTAGATGTTTAGAAATATCAATTTAATTCGACATTTTACAGGATCTGAAATAAATAATATCATATTATAGTAATTTTGCATATGTGAAAAATATACTTCACAGATTTAATTAAAATTGAAAATCACAAAAAAATGTTACAGTTATTCTCTACTATTGTAATTCTTTTCTTAGATAATTATATAGGATTCTTTAGGAATTTAAAAATTTCCGAACACAAATGTCCAAAGGTGGGTTTAAACAGTCTTTTACATTGGTATATATTCTTTTACTTTCATATAATAAAATTTATATGGGTCAGAAACCCATGATTAATTATGTTATAAATTGCTGAAAAACCGTTTTAAACAATATTAATATCAAAAATTTAAATATATCGTGGTAGTATTGTAATAATAATCACAAATATATAAAATTAAATAGCAACTCAACTGTAATAAATTGTAAGTAGCGATTTACGCTAGAACTCACTATCAGCAAATTTAATAGAAAAAGGTCTAGTCATTTTGTAAATATCCGACCACATTTAATATTTGCTTAATATTCTTTGGTGGCTTTGTGGAATACAGTTTACATATTTTAAAGCCAATGATGTATCAAGCTTGATCATGCCTAATTAAGAAAAGAAAATAATTTAATACTTAGCCAGGTTTAGCCAGGACAGTTCCGGATTTACACCTTGTGTCCCGGGTTTTTCTAAAAGCAAAATTAGTCCAGGGTTTTCGAATACTTTAGATTTTTTTTTGCATAGTTTTATTGTCAATCAAAATAAAATACATTTTTTAAGATAATATGATGTTGGTGTTAATGCATTTAAGAGATTATCTCCTATGAGATACTTTAGATTTAAATTAAATCTTTGAAATTAATTGTAATATAATTAAAACTACCCATTAAATATCGGAAAATGATACGTCATGATTGAGAAAACTGTAAAATAAAAAAAAATGAAAAAAATTAAATGAGCATTTTGATTAACTGGTGGAAGAGCTAATTTTTTCAAGTTAATGATCAAGAGAATTAAACAGAATTTTAAGCCTTTATACAAGGCCTAAAAGCAAAAAAACATATGGATCGAAATATAAGAATAAGCAAAGTAAGATATAATTATTATCATAGGTAAAAGAAGAATATATATATAACAGATAATTTAATAGTAAAGTTTTGAAGATTGAATAGTAAAAAAAATTGTATCATTTTTATTTAGTTTTTTTTTGTATATCGAAAATGATTCAGATTTCATTTTTAATTCTGACTAAAGTTCTAATACACAAATATATAAAATCATATTTAAGTTATTTAGTGTAACCACCTCGGATTAGCTTAACTAACTCTAAAATCCGCTTACCTGCGATAAAGTATTTAGATCCAAGTTTTTACAACATTTCATCAGTTTTATTTTTATCACAAAATAAAATCTATCAACTACTATTTATCGTTAGTTAAATATATTATTATTAATTTAAAATAATCGAACTCTCATACGCACTCTGATGTGAAACCAATCAAAACAAATTAAAATAATTCGGCTTTGTTCCAGCATCATGTCGCAATGCCACTAATTTTTCGATGTGCCGAAAAATATCATTTAACGTGTTTTTATGATGTTCAGTAATCCCGAAAAAAACATTCAACTACGTAATTGTAGAACAAACAGACAACACGCACGAACTGATGTAGACACCTTGTGATAATCGTGGGTTCAATTGAAAAGATTCGGTGATATTTTCGATGAAGGCACTACGAACGAAAACTTGATGTAGATTTTTTTAAATAAAATACTGTAACAATTATTTTGTTTAGATATTTATAACATGTTTATATTTATTTAACTCGTTACAAGCAAATCTTCGACTCTTTGGATGATTTTAATTTTGTTTTCCAGCCTCAATATTTACGAACCAATGTGTTCGTGAAAGCATGTGTAACATACGAATCTAAACGAGTTCTAGAAATAGAACGATGGATTTCATTTCGATGCAACGCATTTGCCACAGGATAAAGTTCACATTTATAAAAAAAAATGCTGCCTATACAAACATTTAAAAAACACCGAATATTATAGCAATACTGGCTGACCCGGCAAACGTTGTTTTGCCATAACAAATGAATCTAGTACTAGTGAGGTGCATGGCATCGTGCTTCAAGGCAAATTGCTGGTACTTCCCGTACCGTAATTAAAAGTCTTGGTATGGAACCCAGAAAAAATTACACAAAATGTGTACACATTATTAAAATCTCTATAAAATATATGATAATTTGGACATATGTCCAATAAACATTTCTGACCGCCAAATGAGATTTTTTAACTCACTTTTATCGAGAGTCCATAACCGCTGGGCCTGCCTTCCCAAAAATTTAATCAAATCTTTATCTTGTCAATACAAGTAAAATGTTTGCCCGAAATCGTCGACAAAAATTTGTAACCGCACACACACACACATCCATTTTTTCTAAGGTATGCCAAAATGTTCAAAAACCTTTGAAATGTAAAGATATATACACATTTTCGTTTTTTTGCGATTACTATAACTGGCCCTACAAGAAGTTAAAAAAATATTTCGTATAAAAATAACTGATTGCCAATAAGTGAAAGAGGCACCAAACAAAAAATAATGTATAGTTTACCCACTGCAAAGCATGCCACATATGAATGATTTCGGGTCATATTAGTAGTATTTGCAAGAGCCAACCTGATCTGAACCGGATTCTATTGAAATTGAATTCGCAAATTTGAAGATTCAAGATTTTGAAATATTATTAATAATATTTCAAAATCTTGAATCTTTAAGGTAATTACTTAATTTTAGGTAATTACCTCGCTTTTATTAATTTATTAATTTTTGAATTATAAAGCAAAATCCGGTCAGTCATTTTTAAATTATATTGATATGCTGCATGCCCGTCAGCCAATTTACTAAGATTGAAAAAAATTAAGAAAATTTAAAATTTCACAGCTTTAACATAGATTTGTATAATACCTAGTTTCCTACCAAAAACTATTGTATCTTCAGATTTTAATATTCAATCTATATATTTACTTCCCGTAGGGTAAGTTACTGTAATCGTCTACAAATCGAAATTGAAAAATTTTGCATTTCTTCCAGTTTTGAAGGTTTCTGAACATTTTGGCATACCTTAGAAAAATGTGTGTCTGTGTGTGTATACAATTTTTCGTCCACGTTTTCGAGCGCAAAGATCAACCGATTCGAATGGTTAAAAAAACATTCGATTCCTATTAATAGGGAGATGTGCTGATTAGTTTTTTGGCAAAAGTCGGTCCAGCCGTTTCGGAGTTACAGAGCAAAGAGTGCAGAAAATATAAAACGAGTTTTTGAGAGAACGGAGCATCCGATTCGAATGATCCAAAAAACATTCAATTCGTAATGATGGGGAGAAGTGGTGATAAGTTTTGGATATACGGAGCAAAATGCGCCAAAAATAGCAGTTTTTGAGAGAAATAACCATTTGATTCGGATGATTCAAAAAACTTTCTGCTTGTGTTGACAAAAAAATTGTTAGAAACGAAAAAACATTTTATTTTATTTCAATTTTTTTAAAATTTGCAGTAAAAAATATTTTTGAATATCGAAAATAATTTAGATTTTCAAAATTTTAACTCGTTACGGGAAGTTCCAGCAAGATGCCTCAAGGCGCGATGCCATACACCACTAGTTTTTTTTTGTAAAAATTGCTCTTTATGCAAACCTTTTATGAACTATAAACTGTTTGTGCGCTTCAGGAAATATTTGTACAATGTACACGGCTTTTAAATTTTTGAAATAGGAACAATTAAACAACCAATTGCGATATCATGAAAGTTTTGAAATACAGAAAAAAAACTTATTCTCCAACAGTATTTGTATTTATACAAATTTCTTCATTCTTAATATTATTACTATCTTAAATCATTACTAACTTACTTAATTGCTTAGATCTAAATTAAATAAATATTACAAATCTGAATTAAATATTAATTAAACCATTTAACAAATTCATACATGAGTATTGGTAATCAACATTTTGTTTTAATTTATGAAAGCACATAAATTGATAAAGTAAACGAAATGATTTATATTTAAAAAGCACACATAATAAAAACAATGTGATAGCTTTTATGCTAATTAGCTACTATAAATCTTAATCTAGCAATCAAGTTTTGTAGAAAATTTGAAAATATCTTACCTATCACATCTTTAACACTCTCCATAGTAAATGCATTTGCAAAATTGGACCTTCATAACTACACAAATTTGTATAGTACTACTAGATATAACACTTTTCTACAACTATACTCCATTTCTGTAATATTTCCAGTGAAAAACAAGTTCAGATCACATTTCCAGAATAAATGTTTAGGAAAAAACATTTATTATAATTGATTAGTAATTGTTTAATATGCATCAAATCATAATCCAATAAAGTATTTCAAGTACAGATCATACATTCTGAGATAATAATTTTTCAATATCAGTAATATATATACACAGTTTAAAATTAGAACCAATATACATTATCACCTCTATGATAATCCGAATCATTACATAAGATATTTATGATAATATGGTTCCTCACTAGTGTTTATAGGATTGACAATATTTAAAGCAATTGGTCTTGGTGGCGGAGCTAACAATTGAGTTCTAAAAGGTACTTGTTGTACATCATACATTTTTAAACAGTCTACGCCAGCAGATGGTACAACTGGAACAGCTTGATTTTTATCTAAAGGTGGCATCAGCGACGTGGCATGATGTAATGTTGTCGAATTATGATGCTGTAAAGGCAAATTTGTTGTTTGTTGATGGATTGGTAAGGGGTGATTTATAACTGGCTGATGCTGGTGAACTGGTGGGGGCTGGATAACATTTTCACTACGCTGCTCATTTTGTTGATTTTGCGCTTTTCTATTGGAAATTTGTTCACCTAAATGTACCTTCTTCTTATGATTCATCTGCAAAGACATACAGTAATCAAATGTATTAAAAATTTTAACTAATGGTTTAAAACTTGCTTATTTATAACATATAAAAATAAATATACTTATATGTAAATATGTTACTTTATACCATTTTTGCTTTACTATTACTTACCATATCACGTCCACGACTAAATGATTTTCCACATATATCACAATGATGATTTTTGATACCAGTATGAGTTACCATATGTCTACTGAGATCTCCCGGAGTTATGAATCCTTTATTGCATACAGGACATACTTGGTCCCGAATACCTTTATGAATTTTTTGATGAGCTTGAAAATTGCCTAGTGCTGAGAATTGTTTGCTGTAAATAGCACATATAAGTTATTTTGGTTTGACAAATTGTTGTATAAGAATATACATATTCATAGAATAACCAATATTATGCCATTCATTTTTTAATATTATATATTATTCAAACATTTTACCTGCAAATTTCACATTGGAATGGTTTTTCTCCAGTATGAGTCCTAATATGTATAGCAAGATTATGTTTTTGTGCAAACCTACGTGTACAATATGTGCAAGCAAAAGGACGTTCACCTGTATGAGTTCTGCAAGAAACACATTAAATATAATTAATGAACTTAAATAAATAATTAAAGTGAACTAAATGAAGTGTAATTCAATGTAATCTTATCACCTTATATGCATCTGCAATTGTGCAGCACATTTGAAAGTTTTTTGGCACTCATAGCAGGTCTGAGGTACTTTTGGCAATGTTTTTGGTCCACGTTTTTTGCACTCATCAGGAGCTTTTCTCTTATACCTTGTACGTTTTGGTGTTTTTTCTGTAACAACCAAGAAAACCAAGATTATTATTAGATATATATATATAAATATAATCATACAAAATTCCACTACTAACGTTTTCTTAGCTTTTTTATCTTTGGAATTTTCATCGGAGCCATTTCCAGTAAGAGTTGGCCAAGGTTCATCAGTCATTGTTGCTACTTCCTGCCCTCTAAAAAAAATTAGTTATTATATTAATATACAAACATAAATTCTTATAACATATCAAAATATTTTATTGATTGAGAACAGTGAGTGTATGAATTAATATATTTATATACTTGATATAAATATAAAAACTTTCTATGTGAAATATATCAATATTTATAATAGCCATAGATTTTTGTATATGTACTCACAATTTCCTCATTTCCAAACCTAAGAAGTGTCTTAGTCGGGCATCAGAATTTTCACATTGTTGTAGAAAATGGTAAGCCACACCTAAACGATATATGCAGTTATTGCATATTGAAGGAGGCATACCATCATCTTTCAAAACCTATATATTTTAAATCAAATATTAGTTCATAGTTTATATATAGTTATATACTACACTAGATAATTGAATTTCTCCAAAATGTGTGGACCACACTTTGTGAATATTTATTTTTGATATAATAAGGTTGACATAAAAATAGTTTAATATCAAAGAAAAATTTGAAATATTGAAAAAGGCAAAGAAGAAAATGATATTAAACATTTAAGATACAAAATAAATCAAATACATAAAAATTCAAATAGATTGTAATACATTAAATTAATAGTCTTTAAACAAAATTAGCCTTTTTGTTTAAAAATTAAATCATAAAAATATTAGGCATATCTGTACATTAATTAACAATTATAGGCAATAATGTTAATACAACAAGCAATAACAAAATATAATATGCACTAGATATATATATATATAATTAATAATATAACATATAATATACACCAAAAAATAATAACCTTTATTTTGGCACACATCCACATCATATGAGAAGGCATAACAGCAAAATCCGTGCTAAATAAGGACATTGTAGCACCATCTTCTAAACAAACACGACAAAGTTTAATAACATCAATTTCCATATTTTTAATTTACAATCAGGAGAATAAATAAATAAAACAATTAAGTTTTTACGTCTGTCAGAAAGCAGTTTTTGTTTACTTCGTATCCTTTGAGTCATAGAGTATTCCACAGGACGAAGCTTTGAGCTTTATAGATAGGACACAACATGGCGGTTAATATTTTTGAAAAGCTCGTTGTCTTAATAAATGGAAGTCATTTATTTAATGTTATTATATATATACTAATAATTCATGCGTACTTATTATTATAAATTTAAATATGTACTTATTATTATGCATTAAATAATTTAAATTTAAATCATTTATTTTTGAACGCCTTGCGCCTAACTTCGTGTTTGTGTTTTTTCGTTATTTTTATTCTATGTTTTTATCTGGTTGGTAGAGAAGTTAGATCATGTCATAGATGGCAACACTTTCTCATTTCAAATTTTGAAGGATAATACTCATACAGAATTTATAACCTCAAAGTTGTGGAAACAAATTGGTCCGTGAATTTGAAACAATTGAGATAAATTATAAATAATAATGTCTATAATTTTAAGAACATATCGACGAGGTTCAAGGCTCCAGCCTGTTTTATCTCGCCTTTGTAGTACTGAGACACAACAACCAAGTGAAACAGATAAATCCAAACTAGGTGGCTTTGCACAAGCTTTTGAAAAATATACATCAGAGAAAACCGAGGAAAAAGTAGAAGAAAAGCAGACATTCGCTGCCTTATTGAGAAACTCTAAATTTATTGATGTAAGGAGTGATATTAACTTATGTTTATGTGATTGCTTGAACAGAATTCGTATACATATCAAAAAGTTATCAGAATAATGCTCATATATTATTCCATCATTACAATAAAATTAATTCCACGTGCATTTTGCATTTATATCTTAATCGTATATTGCACGTTACATGCATATGATTTTGTTGTTTCGATTCCATCTATATCGATATTAATTGTATCGTCTACTATTAGATATAAATATAAGAGATATTTTAATTTATGATTCAATGAGTGTAGTAATCAATATTGTATTATAACATTCATAATTGTCTAATAGTATTTTTATCTATTATAGCTTGGAGATCCTGCAGATAAAATAGTGACTGGTAAAATATACCACATAGTCGGTGACGATCTATATATAGACTTTGGTTGGAAATTCCATGCTGTATGCTCTAGACCTCAGAAAAATAGCGAGTATGTATTCGCTTTTGAATATATTTTGAATGTTACTTCATTGTATTTAAATTAAATTAAAATTGTATTTCTATTACGATTTCATTTTCAGAGATTATGTTCGTGGTGCACGTGTCAGGCTTAGGGTAAAAGATCTTGAATTATCAACGAGATTTTTGGGATCTGAAAAAGATTTGACAATATTAGAAGCTGATGCAGTACTTTTAGGACTAATTTCATCGCCTGCTCGAAGTGCTCAAGCAAATGCAGAAACAAAATAAAAGAATTTGTATCAGGATTATATAGTTAATGCATTGTAAATAAATAAATTATATATATTATACTTAATACGTAAATTTATTTTATTTTGTATTTATTTGAAATATTGTGAGGGATAAACGAAATCAATACTAATAGCAAATTAGGTGTTGGCAGTATTTTGTCTTAAGGCAAGTTGCAAAAACACATAGTCCATTATTCCAAATTTCAATGAATTTTTATAATTAAACCACATTTTTGGTCCCATGGTGTTTTTTTGGGATGTTTGTTAAGACCATAAACTGCATAAAAATTTTCATCAAAGTAAAAAAAAAATTCAACAATTATATGCTATCAAATATATCAATCTAACTAGAAACTAATTATATTTCCAACTGATTTCTTTTGAACAGTTTTAAAATCGGATCAGAATTTTGGGATAAAACATGAATGAAAACTTTTGCACTTCCGAATGAGTATAAAAATACTTTTATCTTTTTTGGCTGAGAAAAACGTTGTGATATTCCAATTGGAATCTTATTTGAAAGATTCTGCATTAACTCATTTATCGCGGAAATGAAAACATTAAAACCAATCTCCAATGAAACACTGATTGCCTCCTAATCTACCGATAATTATCAAATAAGTTAGAAGAAACAATCGTCACCTCAGATGCAACAAAAACTATCTGGATTATGCAAAGAAGGTCTTACAGTCAAAGCCATACCAAAACAGCAGATATAGTCCAGTCATTTAAGCTTAAATTAGTTAAGCTTAAGTTAGTTAAGTCTGTAAATACTGTATATTCACACCCTAAAAGTTGTCTTAAAACCTATATATGTTGCGTACACCCTACCATATGTAAGTTTTGAGACAACTTTTAGGGTGTAAATATACAGTATTTACAGACTTACAGCTGCGTATCTCAAATTCCGAGGTGATTTTACTATAATTACTGGACTAATAAAACTCTTATTTATTCGTTAAACTGTGATGACCGAAATGACTAATTGAAGTAGGTTTCCTAAAACTCAAAAACTAAAACTGTTAGGTAAAAATTAGAGGTATATTTGAAATTAGCGTGCAATTCTAACTAGTAGTTTTACAAAAAAAAGTTCGAGGAAAAAAATAAAAGTGCCATTTTTGTCACGCAGTGTAATCAAAGTAGCCTTTCGAAAATTCGAAACAAATTTTTATAACGTTTTTCAAAAATGGCATCGCAGCATTTTTATATTATTATTTGAAAGTGTATATAAAAGCTTGTTCAAAATTCTAAATTGTTACTATGGCAAAACTTTATAAATACCTCAGTTTCCCTGGAGCTCTGGCTTTTGTGAAGAAGTATTTGAGAACAGAATACGATAGATATTTCCTGCTGGCTCTAGTACGCGTGATTCTAGTGTTCCTGCCGCAGACAGGATACGTGCATAAGGATGAATTTTTTGACTCCTTCGAGGATGCTGCTGGTTAGCGCTTGTTATTTTGTTTTGGGAATCCTTTTGTTGGATAATCACATACTTGAATAAGAGATGGTAACGATCATCATTATTCTTATATGCTTGATACGCAAAATCGTAAAATCCTACTTCCTACATACAGGTATACGTTTAAATGATATTATGCAAAATTATATTGATTTTTAAGTACTAATATTATTACACTCTAGACATAGAATATATAACTAGTTGGTATTGGTATTTTGCCTTAAGGTAAGTTACATGAACTTTCCGAAATGTGTAAATAATCGACTTGATCAATAAAAATAAATTAATTTATGGGTGATGAAACGTATTCCGAGTGGATTTATTACACATATTTGAAAACGAACGAACACGTTAACTTGGAGTATTTTCTAAAAACAAATTTTCAAAAATCAACAATTTTTATAATCGAACCAGTTTCCGTAGGACTTTAATGATTCAGTATGTTCTTTAAGAGCAAGTACTCTATCGTTATTCCAAGAAAATCGTCTAATTTTAATTTAGCAAACATAAAAAACTACTTATTTTCTCAAATTCTGATAAATTTTTAAATGCAGAATTGTGGGCAAAACGTGAACGAATTTTTTTTACTTTTTACTGCTATTTACAAAGACACGGCTCGGCTGGTCCTCGAGATACATCGAATGCAACAACTAACTTAAACAACTATTGTATTATTTATTTTTTCAAGATAACATTCTAGTTTAAGTTAAAACGGCTTCTTATGCCAAGATTTACACAATATACGAGAAAGTTCTCTTGAGAAGACTAAGTTTTGCGGTAAAACTATATGATATTCGCTTACCCCGGTTATGCGAAGATTTTGACGCAGTAAAAATGCGCAATAAAATAAATTTTTAAAAATATTTAATTTTTTTTAATCTCAGAAAATTGTTAAAAAAATATATATTCATTGATCAACAACAAAATATAGTCAATATTATCAAATATTACAAATAGATATACAGGGAGTCCCATATTTTGTGTGAAAATTGTAAGCTTTTACCTAGAGGTTTGGTAAAATTATGACTGTAAGCGCCCGGTACAATGTTTATTAAAAAGTCAATTAAAAAATCACTACACACGGACACTTTATTACCTCAAAGGACCAGATATAATTAATTATCAAAAAGGCTATATCAGACCTAAAATAACATAGAACTGAATGGAAAATAATAACTAGTTCATAAATTGTTTATATTTAATTTTAGTTAGTCGTATTAGATGTTATCGGGTCAAGGTATACATACAGAATGAATAATTTCTTATAACTAGCTTAGTACCTATACTAGGGTAGGAAATTATTTTATCATGTCAGGTAGACAAAGATGGATGAATAAAATTTGTGAGGCTCGAACAATGACTATTTTTCGGTTTTTTGGTTAAACTTTGAAACCGTAACCGTAAATAATCTAGATCTACAATCAAAAACAATAACAAAATTGCTTCTAAGTTTAAGAATTTAATACTTTTTGTTGAACTATGAATTTAAATTTTTTTAAATCAATTGATTTTAGATAAATTTCATAAAAAATGGCGCATTTAATAAAATTTGTAAAATAAAAAATACTAAGAAAATTTATTATTAAAATTTTTTGAGTAAAAAGTCAAAAACCGAATAATGACACGATTTTTGCTAGTACATTTTACTAGATAGTTTTTATGGTATTCATCTTCAGGTTGATTAGTATTCGATAAATCTAAAATATTACAAACTAGGTGATGCACTGGGCGTAGATTCAGCAAGAGGATGGCGAATAGACGCTGAAGGCGTTCCAAATCGTCATATTTTCTTCCCGTTGGCTTTGATTGGAGGACCACTTTTTTTACTAAAGTAAATATCTAATTATATAATAAGTTATGGATATTATAGAGTTAAACGTTCTTTATATCATAAAAAAGCTAAAATATTTTGTTACCCTTCAGTTTTATTTATCTTATCTTTAGGTACATTCAAACCGCCCTGAGTTACATATCCGGATTTCCAGTTCAAGTTGTGACCCCTTACTCGACACTAGTAGCACCAAGGCTACTGATGTGCCTTTTGTCTTTTTTGGTTGATTATTGCATGATTGGAATTTATGATACAATAACACAAAATAATCCGAAGGCAGTCTCTTACAGAGTTAGAAGATTGACATTATTAGCTGGATCAGGAGCTATGATAATTTATGGAACGCGTACAATAACAGGAGCATTGGAAATGTACCTTTTTACTGCTCTTGTTTATGAGGTATGGCAATTTATTTATATCAATCTTAATAAAGAACTAGTGGTGTATGGCATCGTGCCTTAAGGCAAATTGCTGGAGCTTCCCGTACCAGAATTAAATATTCGAGCGATAAAAGTCTAAATCAATAAATCGATCGATGATAACAATTGTTTTAAATATTTTTAAGTAATTTATAATCACTATATATTTTACCGTTCATAAAATATAGAGTGAGGATCTTATGGCTCAAAACACTTGAGAAAGTTTACATTAGCAAGAGGTGGCGAATAAATCCATCTGATGATATATTTCTTACGATTAGAATAACGCATTTGAAATATACACATTTTCAAACTTAATTGTAAATTTGAAATTTATATTTAAAGTATAAAACTTTGTACATTTTTGAAAATTTTGAATTTTTTTTTCTGAAAATTTTGAAACTTGCTTGAACCGTATAAGTAAATAAAATTAACAATCTTGGTACGGAACCCAAGAAAATCCACATATTTAAAATCTCTAAGATATCTGATAATTTGATGTGTATATATCTGATGATCATTTTTGACCGCCAAATATCATTATTTTTACTTTTTTCTGTATCTTCGAAATTGCTAGACCTTACTAAAAATTTTACCAATTCTTTATTCCATCAATACAAGCAAAATGCTTATTGAATCATTCAAACCGTTATCCCAAAAAGCAAATTACCGGTTTTGGCACTTTTTGTCCCGTATCTTTGAAATGGCTGAACCTGCCTTTGCCGAAAACTAATCAGCACGTCTTCTAATCAATAGAAATCGATTGTTTTTTAATTCATTCAAATCGGTTGATTCGTGCGTTCGAAATCGTGGATAAAAAAATTTATCCAAACACACACACAAACACACACGCACATACATCCATTTTTTCTAAGGTATGCCAAATTCTAATTTAAACATTTTATTTTACTAAAAATACTGCACTATAATGCAAGAAAGGCCAACGCACCTGTTCTGTTGGTCGTCTAGCTATTGACAATGGTCTCACGCACCATATGCGTGCGCAGTGGAAGACGTATATAATATTTTCATATCTTTTCTAATTTTCAGGTGACGCGTTCTATATGTCATTCCAACGCAAGTACAGTTATTATTCAAGAAGATGAGGTGAAAGTTATTTCTTATACCCAGAACGAATTTGCGACAGCAATGCCGATTGCCGCTTTGGCGGTTTGCGGTTACTTCAATCGGCCCGGATTTGCCATTTTTGCGGCTTTTCCAATAATTGCGTGGATGCTGCGAACTGAAAGCGAGAAAAATGAATTGGGAAATGCATCTGTAGTGAGTGGGAAAATAAAAATATTTATAGCAACCGATAAATTTAATAAAATTATAATTCATAATATTATGCAAAATTATTTACCACTTTTGAACATATCGATTGAAAAGCTAATCACAGTATTATACCATGAAATAATTGCGTAAGATACTACTCAATAATCTTGGCAGTTACTTTAAATTTTGAAGTCAAATATATTGTTAAATAATATTAATCTGAACAATAATAATACAAATATCAATGATTTTTTTTCAAGGCATTTACTCTCGCAAAACGCGTATTATCTTTGGCTCTGGGTGCTGCTCCACCTTGCATAATTTTGTCAGGGGTGGATACGTTATATTATGGAGCTCCATCACCATATAATGAACCTATTGCATTTGTGAATCAACCTGCAGTGGATGGTAGTGACCCAAGACCACCTTGGATCCCATTTTTCAATGCAATATGCCTTTTCAATATACTTGGGATCGTAGCAATTTGGAGATCCATAAATACTACTATTTGGTAAGAAATCATATAATAATCAATCAATATATCAATGTTGTTGGATATTTCTGTATTTTGTTGCCAAATTGATTCCATAACTACAACAAATTTTGTGACAATCAATATTCCTCCAATCATTGTTATCGTATCACCGTTTTGATATGGAAATTGCAAATTAACATAACATAACAAAATGCAGATCATTGCATGTTCCATGTAGACTGTTAGGACTCATTTTTGGAGAATCTATAATTGTTTTCAAATTTTGTTGAATGTAATCAAAAGAAATTATGAATCTATAAATCATGCTAATTGACCAATGATTTCTAATATTGCTCATTTTATTTATTCGTTATATTATTGACTCATCTGACCAATATGCAAAAGGTTTTGAAAAACGTTGTTTAAAAAAAAACACAAAATTACTCTCATAAATCTCTATGAGAAATCTAAGAATTTTGCTCACAATAAATTTCATAATTAAAAAAAATTAATTAATATTTCCATTACTTTTTTACAATTTTTATTCTTAAATTATTAGTCTTCTGGTGAGGAAAAATTATTTCGCCGGCAAACGGATGGAAGCATTTCTCACATGGTGTTCTGCTGGACCAATATTTCTAATGGCGATTTTATCACCATTTGGATTAGGAGCAAAAGAAGACCACTACCTACTTCCAGTTTTACCATTATTTGTTCTCCTGAATTGTGATATTTTTGAATATTACCATCATTATAATACACAACCAACCAAACAGCCGAGCAATGAACAGAAGCAGGAACAAACAAAATCTACAGAGGACAAAGAAATTACAAGTAATGATTGGAATATAATTTAAAAATACTTCAACATTGACGCCAATATTAACTTATCAAATTGTCAAATTTTCAGATGCCAAGAAACGTCATTCGAGTTTTTCAAAATTTCTAATAAGACTTTGGGTTATCCTTAATTTTATATTTGTAGTATACAATGGCCTTCTAAGAGATGCTGGAACTTTTCAACTAATTCAGAAGCTTCACAATGAAATTTCAACAGCAAGTATGAAAATGATTTTTATCACATTTATTTTATCATATTAAACTCCCTATAATATTACACAAACTCAAAGGTTATGATTTCACGAAGCTTAATTTTTATTGAATTTGTATGATTTCACAAATAAATCGCAATTATATACATTTTATTTTCCAATATATAAAAACCTTCAATAGAATATTGTGCATCTTTATGTACACAAATAAAAGTCTCTATTTGCCCATTATTTTCAGCTTTCACAACAAACACGTGTGTCCTTTTTATATATTTCTTATTCTATATCTTCATATTGAATGTAAGACCTTTGGAAAAGATATTCCCTTTGACTGTAACTAAATACACAAGAGTAAACATAAAAATAAAGCCCATATGATCCGATTTATTTACTGTCCTCGGATACCCAATTATATATGACTTATCTTCCACTTTGATACGATTTAGTATTTTATACGAATTTACAAATTTTGAAAAGAAAATATAGACAAAAATTAAAAATTTTTAGTATAAAAATCCCCTGCATGTAAAATTCATCAGTTAGGATTTTGTGTAATATACAGTTATAATGATTACTTATATTAGTAATTTATTATGAACATATGATTTTTCTTTCCTTCTTGTCACTACGATAATAATATATGTATATCTAATGGCATTTTTTAAAACTTTGTTTTTGATATTTGAAATCGCTGGAACCTAGCTTCACAAAATCAATCAATTTTTTCCATCGTCAATGCAAATAAAATGTTTTTTAAATAATCCAAATCGTACACTTCATTCTCTCTAAAACTGAATTCAAGTTTTTTAAATCATCCAAATTACTTCATTCTCTCTAACACTGAATGTTCGAAACTATTAGACCTGCCTTTGACAAAAACTAATCAACACGTCTCCCTATTAATACGAGCCAAATGTTATTTTAAAAGTATTGAAATCGGTTGATCCGTGTTCCCAAAATTTCAATTATATACATACATACATACACGCACATATCCATTTTGCCTATGGTATGCCAAAATGTTCAGAAACCTTTGAAACGTAAAAATACATACAAGTTTTCGTTTTCGATTTTTTTGCGATTACTATAACATACCATACGGAAAGTTAATTAGTTAAGAATTATATATAAAAGTAAATATATATGAAAAACTAAAGTGTGAGGGATATTTTAGCTAAACGAGGCCAGTATATTGTATTGATGTAAAAAATATATTAATTTATGTTTTTGAATAAAACAAAAAATGTTTTTTAAGGTGCACGTCAAATATACGTATGTACATGTCGCGTTCCCTCGATTCCCGTCGCTCTGCTCGGTCTTCCCAAAGAACCGGAAGACTTAACGCTGCTGTATGGCGGATCCGGAGGCCAAAGGCGAATTCGCTACGGAAGACGAGTCTACATGAACGAATTAGGAAACTGGTATGAATTAAAATTAAAATTTCATTTTGTGCCGCTTTATTTAAAATACATATGCCTAATCCTGAAGAGAAGAAATTATTTAAAAAATAATTTAAATTTTGAGATAAAATATTGACGCTTTGGTTATTGATAGCATGTAGATATTTAGATCCAAAAATAATAGTTTCTATAGATATATGTCTTCTATAATGTTTTAGCATTCACGGCTAGTTCGCTTTTTAGCATTTAGAACAAAAATGGAGATTGGATATTATTGTCGGCAAACATAATTTTAAGTTCCCAAAAAGCACTATAAAAAATTATATTTGCAATGAAACGTTTTTTCAGAACCTATTAATTTTTCTTTTTTAATCCGGTGGAGACGCCTTGTACTTTTTGCAAGAACTTTCATATAAAGACCGTTTCAAAATAATGAAAAAATTCAATATTAATCTATTAATCTATTATAACCCATTTTGAAATAACAAAAGTATGAAATTATTAAACTATATTTCTTATATTCTAGTACGATTCAAGAGCTTCATCGCCGTGTGGTCGCATTATTGGATATGTGCCGCTTGCGCTATGGAATTCACGAACGTCGCTGCACCATCATCGCCGCTTTACCTGGCACTTTGAGTGATGATTACGAATCATTAGTTTTACGCAGGTAAAAATATATATCTAATGATAATATACAAATATTAAATAAATTATGATAAATTAAATACATAGAACTAAATATCATATATGCCTTTGATGGAATGAGACAATAGTTTTTTTGCAAAGTATGGTGTCTAGTTTGATCTCTTTACATAAAACTAAGGTATAGAAACAAATAATTATAAAAATTTGATTTACCCTAGAATAATATTTTGACACTTTTGGCTACCTGGAATGAATTGCTTCTAAATGATACTTTCACTTCATACCCTAAGACTTTGATAATAATATTATTATTATTATTTGTGGATTACAACTTTTTTCGCAATTATTTAGAAGCAGTAGCATTCAACTGAATCACAATGTGTGTTTTCAATCGCTTCTAACATTATACATTAAAACTGATTTTTGTAATTAATACCCAACCCATAACTTATAAAAAAAACGAGTAATGCTTTGTTTCATAAACTGCAAAATGCAAGCTTTCCAACTTCATTCAAATTATTAGAGGTATTTTATTGAATAATTTTAAAATCACATACATGAAAAATATATTTAGTAAATATTTGTATATAAAAAATCATGTAAGAAACTTTGTTGATTCCCGGTCTGTATTTTTTACCAATATATAAACGATATCTATTTACTTCTGGCTGTTGATGACTGACTATGTCAATAAATTTATTATTATTATCATTTCAGAAGAAAACGCGATGGTGTAAAATTGCAAAAAGAAAACGAATTTTTCCCACATGTGAGTCCAGGTTCTCCTGCTTCAATTACGGAGGTTATGAGTGCCGGAGCAAGTCAGAAATTTTCCCTAATGATGTATACTGCACAAAGAACTACTAAGACCTGAGTGTCTCATTTTGCTTTTATTTTTATACGTTAGCTGCGTTTGTCATTTACAAATTTTTGATTTTGTCATTTTTATTTTAATATATTTTTTTAAGAATATGACGAATTGCATTATATCTTAAGTAAACTCTAATGATACTTTCGTACATTTTAGCTAAAATATCTATTTTTATTTCAGTATTGAATTTAGGTAATATATTTAATTGATATTTAATAACTTTATTAATTTATTGTCACTAATTTATTAAAATATCTCACTCGATAATATTTTCATATATTTGCCAAATTACTTTTTTTGAAAATGGTTTAAAAAAAACTACTGCCAAATTTCTTGTTTTATTTAAAAGTACAATCTATGCAAATTTATGATAAAATAATTATTAACTTTATTTATTTATTAAAAAATTTGTCCAAATATTTCATTGGGATGAAAAACTAATCGGGATATTTGTAATCGATTGTTTTCACATTCATATAATTTATATTTTGTGAAAAAAATACCAAAGTGTTAATCTAGATTTGTTTCACATTATTTATACATATAGTTAATTTTTGATATTTGGTAAATCCTTATAAGTGATTTATACTTACTGCAAAATGAATTTAATTAATGTAATCGAGTTAATCTACTAGCATTTCTTTATTTCAGTCAGAAATTGAATGATAATTTTTGAGCACCACATGAATACTTTTATCTTGGATGAAAACAGTTAGTATTTGGCATGTATTGAACATAAAAGAAATACTTAATTCTAATAATACTTATTATTAAAAATGTTATCACTAGATAACGTTGTTACGCCTATTACCGTCATATTATCTGTAAATTTACTGCTCTAAGCTCAGCTTTGATGCGCGCTTGAGTTCTTTATTCAAAGTAAAAAAAGGAGAATGACCCTCGGACATCGAAAGATAGATATAAAACTTCGCGTTCTACTTAATAATAAATAATTTATTTTAAATAGTAATGATATTATTATGCTAGTTTTAACATTATTTATTAATACTAAGAACTAGTAGTGCATGGCATCATGTCTGCTTCTCGAACCAAAAATTACAATTTTTAAAAAAGCTTCAAAGTTATTTGGAAACTAAACAGATAGATTTTTGAGAGCTTTGAAATTTTTGAAAATAAAGACTTTTTAAAAAATTGGATTTTTTTATATTTAATTTTTTTTTTAAATTTTGTACTTTTTTTCAAAGCAATCGCGCTGCGTAAAGACAAAATATCGCAGTAACATTGCAACGGATAAACGTTGGTACGGAATCCATAGAAATGTAAACAAAATGCCTTTTGAAGTAAAGCTCCTTTAGGCGCGACTAGGGTGTATATCAGTACAAATGCAACGGAAGTCCGTTACGCCCGAGTTGTTCGTCATTCGCTCTCGATGAGATCATTTGTGATTGTGATTACTCGTCGTGTATGTGAATAGAATACTGTCGTTGTATACGTACCAGCATCAACGTTGTATGCATACCGATATCAACAAGGAATATTTTTCAAGCAAAACAGATATTATATCATATCAAAGAATGAGATTATATCACCAACAAAAAAGTAAAAGAAATACAAGCAGTCAATGAATGCATGTTAATTTTAATTACATGAAGTTCTTCAAACACAATTACATGATGAGTGAAGTTGCGAAAACAATATTTGCTTAGGCGTTGTTTAACATATCCACTGTGTGAACGAATATTTTAAAATTTATTAATCAGCAATTACTTCATTTTTGGAATGAAGGTTCATTTCAAAATGCTAATTACAATGACAAACCGATCATATGATATTTGAAGTATGACTTTAATTATATTATTGTTTTTAAATATTATACATATTTTTAAATATTATAAAAGTATAATTTATAATTTATCATTATATAAATGTGTATAATGGTTTACACTAATAAATGTGTGAATCACGAGTGTTACCATATTACTAATAAGCATTAATAAAAAATGTTATATGATGTTTATTTATACTTAAATTATAGGATAGTTATAGGATATTTATTTATACTTAAATGCCATCTTGTACAGTAGCAAATAAGTTTTACTTAATCGCGTCTAAACCTTACGCGCACTCTTTTTTAAGGTATGCCAAAATGCTCAGAAACCTCTGAAACGTAGGGATATATATAAATATTATTTTTAGATTTTATTGTCATTACTATAACTACCCTACGAGAAGTTAAAAACGACTTTTTATAAAAAAAAATACAGTATAGCAATTTTTGTGTGACAGGAATGAAGCAATTTGATCTAATATGCGAATGATATGTGTAGATTGCTAGCTAGTGCAAGTAAAGTATGCAAATCAATGCACAACCATATACATCACTTATTTGCATCGATACAAAATAAAATCTTCCTGATCATCCATCACCTCAAGGTCTGAATCTTTTGCTCCGCATCACAGTTTCGTTCACCTTCGGGATCCCCTATGGTCACCGGAGATAACAGTTCCTGAGAAACGAGGGATGTACCCGATGTCATCAAAAATTTAATAGAAACAAACTAAGAGGATTTGTTACATACATACATACATATAATGCCAGGCTGTCTTTTCCGCGGAACGACGTACACACGTGGGTGGAGCAGAGACGCAATTCTAAGCAGAGTATCGAGACAGAAGAGGATGGAAATTCGCGTTTGCCTTATAGGGGGATAAGGAAATGTTTCAAACAGGATTTTAATATTTTCTCAAGTCTCAAAGTCGAAAATGTTATTCCTTTTAGATTCAAAGAAAATAGGTCCGAGGATTATTATTTTTAAAAATACTTTTGTTTTTCTGCTGGTCTGCAGTGCATGTAGCGAAGTATCAACCCCACTAAGCGCATTACTTCTCATATAACAATTTCAGTATGTATATATATATATATATATATAATATATATATGTATATATATATATATATTGAAACCGTTCTCGAGCAACAATCCAATAATTAAAACAAATTTAGTAAAAAATATGTCATTATTGTAGTAGAAAACGTTTTTTTAACTTCTCGTAGGGTAAGTTATTGTAATGGGCCGAAAATCGAAATTGAAATTTTTTACATTTCTCGATGTTGTGAAGGTTTCTGAACATTTTGGCATACCTCAGAAAAAATAGATGTGTGTGTGTGTATGTATGTATGGATACAAATTTCCAATCACGTTTTCGGGCGCACGGATCAACCGATTTAAATGGTTCAAAAAACATTCGATTCCTATTGATAGGGAGATGAGCTGATTAGTTTTTGGCAAAGGCAGGTCCAGCCGTTTCGAAGATTCGGAGCAAATAGTGCAGAAAATAGAAATTGAATTTTTGAGAAAACAAAGCATACCATTTGAATGATATAAAAAACACTCAATTCCTAATAACGGGGAAAAGTGGTTATTTGGCAAAGGCAGGTCTAGTCGTTTTTAAGATACCGAGCTAAATGTAAAAAATGGCAGTTTTTGAGAGAACTAAGCATATGATTTAAATGATTCAAAAAACTTGCAGCTTGCCTGAAACGATTGCTTCAGGGAATTTTTTTTAATTTAAAAAAATATTGTTAAATATTGATAATAATTCTGGTTTTCAAAATTTTAATTTGATACAGAAAGTTCCAGCAATTTGCCTCAAAGCACGATGCACGTAAATAACATTACTAGGAATACAGTCAAAACTAATGACACAAGTGAATTAAGATTTTTTGTTGAACAATGAATTTAAAATGTTAA